ATTATATTGGGCGATAAGTCACATTTTATTAAGTACTTTGTTCCTTTTAGTTTGTTCATTACTGACAACTTATAGTCAAGTAGTTTTGTAAGGATTACAAATAAATAGTGTGTGTGTGTGTGTATATATATATATATATATATATATGTATATATATTTTTTTTATCCTATACCAATAAATATTATTGGCTGCAGGTGTTTAAATTGGGTGAAGTTGTAACATGAATGTATTTACTTAATAATAAAAGGTTATGTTAGTTTTTGCTGTAGAAATTCTACCAGCCTTTTATTAGAAGAATATTTAGGTTTTTGTCAAAAGGATATATTCAACTCTGTTCAAAATAGTTTAACAGAAAAATGTTTAAAAGTTATGAATATTGAAGCTTTTTTACCAATCTTAGTTAAATAATGTTACTCGAAAAAATTCCACACGATTCTTTTGTAATTGAAAAGTTAAACTTTAAATTATCAACTTTTAAGTTTTTAAAATGAAGTGCAATTTGGTATACTCTTACTACAATCGCTACTATTATTACTACAGATATTTCGAGGAATGGTTGACAAGAACATCCTCAGTGGAAAAGCATTCAGGTTTTCTTGTTACTGAAAAAAAGATCTACTTCTAGAAAATTCTGGTGAACTGTTGAAAAAGTCAACAATTTTCAGTGGAGAAGTGAGTGGAGCAAAACTTAATCTTTTATTACAATTCTATATTACCTACACTATTTTTAAGGTGAAGAAGAAATTAATACCAAAAAAACTAATCTGTACAAATAAATGTAAAACTTTTATAAGTTTACATTATACCAAACTCTTTTTTTTTAACCTTCAAACTACAGTTGGGGTTCCATATGTACCCATTTTTTAAACCTTCAAACTACAGTTGGGGTCCCATATGGACCCATTTTCTTTTGAAAATAATTTTCTAAAGAATTTATGCATGGAATTGCTTGTGACTTTGTTGGACACACACTAAAATTGCAGTTAATTTCACTAAATACTGCTGAGATTTCCTACATATCTTAAATAGCAACTTAGTGATTTCACCCTTTTCAGTGAGTTCTTTAAACTGTGTGTTGTAACAGGCAATAATATAAAATTACTGGATATTAAGAAATATATGGACCACATTGGTAGTAAATAATAAGTTGGTTCATTTGAGAGTCAAATGCAACAGCATAGTAGTGATATTGTATAGAGTTGTTTAAACATTTGTTTAACAACAAGTAAAAGCTTGGAACGGTCTATTCTTTCATTGGGGGGTGTGTCTGTGAGTGTCTTTCGGAGAATTCCACTCCTCATCAGTGACCCTGGAGACTACCACCAACAAAATTTCAGACCAAACCAAGCTTTTATAGTAGTGAGGTATTGAAAATTGAAATGGTGTATTTAGGCGGAATGCTACAAGTTCTTCAAATACCTATAGAATGATAGGTTTCTTTTTTTGTGAGTGTAAACCACCTAAATACACTATTTTGAGTAGTAATATTGTTTGTACATGTCTGGTCATTTATCAAACTGGAAATATTTAGTGTTTCAAGATCATAATATATGTTGTTTATAGTATCCGTTATTTATTACATTATATTATGCAGCATTTCCATTAATTGGTAAATAAAGTCAGATTGTTTGAAAAATAGGTTGATGCTTGGTCAGTTTGACCAGCTGTCAAACCTCTGTAAGGGGCAGTAATCTTAGTGCATGCATTTTACGAAGGCCTTAATTTCTTAAAGAAAAATTTTTTTTTAATTCTTAATCTTCTCTTTTTCTGTGTCATGCAACATGTTTGAGCTCTGATTAATCTACTTCAAAATCTTCTAGTATCAAAAGTAGGCTGCTTCTTTTTACAACCAGTTAGAAACATAAGCTGTACGTGCAAGAATCTAAAACATTATTAGCTGAGGTATCAATAAATTTGTCAAAACCACCAGAATAGCCATTCCTCTCTCTAACTCAAGATTGTTTGCTAATCAACTTTATATGGCTGATGGACATGTATGTAACGAAAAGAAAGAGTAAATCTTTTCTACATAAATTTTACGAGTCCTTGTTTAAAATTCAAAAACTGCTAAAATGGGATAGAAAAAATATATCGTTTAAAAACAATGTTTTGCCACTGTTAACGTGACATCATCAGGTATTCAGCACAATTGTACATGACACTTAAGTACACCCAGTTAGTGATGTCAACCATATAGCCTTGAGCTAGCATAAGTATAAACCTACTCTTTATGTTTTATTAATTAAGGGTTTGTATTTCTTTCTTAAAATGGCTTCTTTTATTTTACGTTTATTAATATTATGTTCTTGACAAATAATTTTAAGAATTTTATTTTCACTACAATATTTAGTATCTTTAAAATGTTGGTAGACATGTGGCAGAGCATGCCCATGTTCTGTTGTTCTAATACTTAAATTTCTACCAGTCTCACCTATTTAGAGATTATTACAGTTTGTACATTCTATAGTGTAAACGACTTCTTTCTCAATAGTAGTCAGTTTAATTCTATTTTTAAAGATTATATTAATCTTTTTTTCCTGGGAAGAATAAAAATTTTCCTACAACTGGAAGCTAGTAGATCCTTTCTATTTCTTTCCAAAGCCTTTTTATCATACTTGATAGGGCAGGTGCATAAGGAATTATACAATAAATCAAATTATCTGAATGATTTTTCTTTTATTCTATCAATTTATCATTTTTAAGTATTTTTTAACCACACTAATAGGATAATCATTCCTCTTCACCTCTTGTTTAATTTGTGTGGCTCTATTAGCCAGTGGAATTACTTGGTATTTGGTGATCATATTTTGGTGCTCCAAATACTAAGGGAATTTTTTAACTCATTTATAGCCTACTTAGAAAGCTGGATAAATTATAGTACTTTTGGGACATTCTGTTCTAGTGACGGTTGTATTTTTGTGGTCTAAGATGCATATTTGAAAGCTACATGAATTCGTTTTGTGGACACTCAAATTTGTGATACTGAACAAGACTTGACTCGCAATCTGCGGGTCGCGGGTTCGAATCCCCGTCACACCAAACATGCTCACCCTTTCAGTTGGGGGAGAGGGGGCATTATTATGTGATGGTCAATCCCATTTTTCGTTGGTAAAGAGTAGCCCAAGAGTTGGCGATGGGTGGTA